GTGACCTGGTCGGTTGGGACGTGATAGGCTGACTCCTCTAGGAGCGTGGGAGTGGACGGCACGTAAGTTTGGTTCAGGCTTCGGAGCTCAGCGTTTTGGCGACGCAGTTCGGCCAATTCCTTGGCATCGGCTTCTCTCTGTCTACGTATGGCTGCCATTTCCTCGCGCAATGCGCACAAGTCATCGTGGAGGTCGGGCTAGGCTCCGAACGCAACCTCTTGTATTACAGGCTCCGGTTGTGTCTGAGGCATTCCATACGGGTATTGTTCTTGGTTGGTCATGACGAGATTGTTCTCGGGGTTAGGGATTGGTTGAGTCGATGTTGATGGTCCTTTGCGTGTTACTACCATGTCTCGGTCTTAGTCGTAGAGTTCAAAGGGGCTGAAAACGTCTTTGCGGCCCCACGGTGGGCGCCAAAATGTTCCTGTACTAGGATACACACTTCACTTGTCCTTATTGTAGCGAGTCTAGTCTTGGGTCTATGTCTTCTCGTTCCTTTCCGATCAGTTCGAAGTGAGAGGGGGGGTGCCTGCAAAGACACTCCAACGCTCAAGTAAGTGCTCGGCGTATTAAATGCGGTAATTAAAAGTTAGTTACGTACCTCGTTGGGGTCCTATTTATAGTGATTCTTATTGGGTCATGATTAGGGACTGAGCCCCGGGAAATTAGGGGGCTAATCCGGCACATTACGTAAATTAACCTCTCTTTAATTGTCCTGGCATAAATCCGTAACTTCGCCGAGCACACCGACATGTTTGGCTCAGATAGAAGGTGGTCGGCGTGTTCGACGAGGTTGATTAGGTCAGTCGGGTCGGATGCTCGGGTATTCGACCTAGTCGGCTATCATCCGGTATAAAAATAAATTATCATTTTAATTTAACTATATTTAAAAATGTAAGAAATGGATAGCCCTTCCCTATTGACTCTAGTAAACGCCCACAAAAGTTTTGTCCGATAAAAGTATTTATTAAAAAAGTGACACTAATAATAACTTTTTATATAACTTTAATATAAAATGTGTTTAACAAGATATTTAAATAATTTATAAACTCTTTTAACTAACTTATAAGTTAATTTGATTAAAATAAATTTATTTCATACAAAATTTCTTTGGAAGAACTTACAAATTATTTTTATAAATTAATTAAAATAACTTATAATTTAAAAAATTTAAACTTTGTTTTTCTTTTTATCTTCATTCCATCCAAAACTTACCATTTCTTAGTGAATAATGGCATCAACTTATGCGAAAATATTCAAAGACATTTTCTAAACCATGTTTTTTTTTGTCTTCATTCCGACCAAAACTTACCCTTTCTTAGTGAATAATGGCATCAACTTATGCGAAAATATTCAAAGACGTTTTCTTAACCAAGTTTATGAAAGTAAAGAAAGGACCATTGGGGGCTCCCTTCAACAACATGTAATTGAATTCTCTAGGAAGCATGATGGATGAATTCTCTAAGGAAGACTCTAAGATCCTTCAATCTTCATTTATGGCTCCAATTAGTAAAAATAACAAGATAAATATGGTAAGGAAAAGGAGAGGATTGGTGTTCCACTCTCAAGTGAGAGATAAACAAAAAGTGATGAACTTACTATAAGAAAAAATTCATTAATGAAAGTTCTTAAAAAATAAAAAAGAATTCTCCAAAGTGAGACCAAGACTTTAAAGAGAGAAATTTGTAATTCAATTTATCAAATTCTCTCCAAGTGACGAATACAAGTAGGAAACAAATTTATATAGAGTTAGGTAGCTTAGGAAGTGAGTTAAGCTAACCATGATACAAAAATGAATCATGGTTGCTTAATCATACTTACCCATGTGTCCCATGTGCTCTGTGATCTAAACTAATATCCTATGAGAAGATGTCAAGAGGCAAGCAAGGATGGTGTGACTAATTAATGATACACGTGACTAATTTGAATTAGTTAACCTAAAAATGGAGCATACCACACTCCATGTGGACATCCAATTCCAAACCATCACATGATGACACCTCATATATTAATTGCACTTCCTATAGCCTACTAGTTACACCTCAAGTTAAAATACATGAAACCAAATCCTAAGCTATTTGTCCCATAATACAAGGCCCAAAATAAAAGAATATATATATATATATATATATATATATATGTATACGTGTATCAATATATATATATATATATATATATATACATATATATATATATAAGAAGTATTGAACTAAAAATCTAGTAACCTATAGCTTAAGATGAGCTTAAACTTACTAACCTCATTTGTGGCTCAATCTTCTTATATCTTTCTAAACATAATCCTATTAGTAGGACCTTTGACCAAGGTTCTTCTATAAGTATAGATGTATATGAATACTATCCATCAACCAAACACATGAAATAGGACATTTGTTGTAACTTCTTTTCAAAGGATCATTCTTTTTTTCTTTTTTTCTTTTCCTTTACTCATCTTGTATTTGTTTATAAGTTTTAAGAGTTATGCTTCCATTGAGAGACTAGTTGTGACTTGTGAGAAGTGTTCAAAAAAGAGTTGAATTAAGTTGAATTATGTAAAAATTAAAAATATAGCTCACATGATCTGAAGTAGAAAAACTTTATGCAAATCAAATTGAATTATTTTTCAATTTAGTTAACTACAGTCTAAAAATTCAAATCAAACTATACTTTAAATTGAATTAAATTATTTTTTTTTAATCTAAATCAAATATTTTATTATGTTTTGAGCTAAATTAAACCGTTTCTTAACTAAATCAAATCATTTCTTTGAACTAAATTGAACCAAATTTCCAATCAACAATTTTCTTTATGTTAGACTTTATACTAATAGAAAAACATGATCATGTAAACGAAATGATATATTTGTCATAATTAAACTTAAATACTAGTAATTAATTTAAATAACATTTGTAATTATATTATAATTATATATATAGGGGATCAAACAAGGCTGGCTCAAGGGTGAGGTCAACAAAGCCCTCACTTTAGATCTCTTTAAAAAAAATATTTTATATTAATATTCATATATTTTTTTTCAAAATTTCATAATTTAAAAAGTTACTTTTTTACATTCTTAAAATTTTCTTTTAAAAAGTATATCTCTAAAAGATATATAAATATAATTATTTTTTTCAAGATCTATTTTTAAAATATTTTAATTTTTTATCAAAAATATTATTATTAATTTTAAAAAAAGTCTCACTTTAGAGAATTGCTTTGAGCCTAATAATATGTTGGGTTGGCCTTGAAATCAAATGACACCGGTGTAACTTTTATCAACTATTATACAACTGAATAACTTTATATTAGATACGAACTTTTTAAAACTTACCATTAGATTGAAAGTTCTTTACTCCTAGATTATATGTACAATTATTTATTTAATCTAAAATAAATTGATACTTCATTCTATATATATATATATATGAATAATTTGATTACTTTTAAATTATTACTCAATTTTAACAAAATTTGACATATACGTACAATATAATATGAAATTATAATTCACTGGTTTGATCAATAAAATTCAAATATAATATAAAATTATTGAACCGTGTAATAATTGATAAAAATTATATTGGAGTCGTTTGATCTCTTTATATATATATATATGTGTGTGTGTGTGTGTGAGAAAGGTTCAAACGATACCGGTGTAACTTTTACTAAGTATTACACCACTTAATAATTTTATATTAAATATAAATTTTTTAAATTCAACCGTTATATTAAAATTTGTTTACTCTTAAATTATATATATATAATTTTATATTAATCTAATATTATTTGATACTTCATTCTTATAAAATAAAATTATTATTAAATATTGTAATACTTAATAAAAATTACATTAATGTTATTATAATCTTCTTCTATATATATAAAAGTACTTTTATTGAACAATAATAATTAATTAATTAAACTAGTGATTTATTTACCTGCAATATTCGAACTAAATTCATTAATGTGTTTTGTCATCAAATATAACACGCTTTTATTTTATTTTAAATACTAATTTTTTAAGTACTTAGATAGTAAAATAATCTTTCCCATACTTATTAAATGCGCATCACATCAATGTATGTAATCATTATTTCTTATTTTAAATATATTTCTCAACTAATAACCGATGCATTCATACTACTCATCTATATAATATATAATATTATAAAATCTATCCAGCTTTGGCCTTGTGTCGATTTCCGGTTCGCTGCAGTTTTTTTTTTTTTTTTTTTAACTTTTTACTTTTTCTGTTGTCTTTTCCTTGCTTGTTTTAATCAAACAGCCGAAGAACAAGTGGACTGTTCTAGTTATAATCAAAACCACTAAATATGCAAGATTGAACATACCAATTGTGCGAACATCATTCTAATAGATTTTTTTTTGTTAAACTCGAGTGCACTAAACTACTCATTATAAGAGTTTGGTTTTTTCCAACTGAACTTTAAAATGCATTCAGTTCGATTTAAAAAAAAAAAAATTGTGGTTTTTATAATTTAATTCAGGTCAGTTTTTCAATAGTTCAGTTTAAAACAGTTTTTGCAAATGCCAATTTTTGCCTTGCATATCTCAACCGACATTCCCTTGTTTATTAACAGGAGAGCTTGCTCAACACACTTTTAAGCCCTACTTGAAACACAACCAGAAAATGAATACAAACCCCTCAATTTGTCTCAACTTGTATACACCTTTAACGGTTACAACCCAGAGGATAGGCCTGTAACTTCAATAATATGGTCCTACAAGAAATAAGGTTTTGCAGCTTTTGTTTGTGAGGGGATAGTTAAGTTTGATGATTAATGATCTCTATAATAAAGATCTTCATATTCGTGAAAATAGTTTCTACAGATGGCCAAAAAAAATTGGGGTTGTATAACTATAAATGCAAAGCGAGAAGGAAATTAAGCCATTCTGGCCCACGATTTTATACTTAACCACTATAGCAAGTAAGCAACCCAAGTTTGAGAGGAAACTTAGAATCAATAGAGCATTCAGGTCAAAAATGACAGATAAGGCTAGCAACCCAGCCGCTGTAGACAAACACGAATATACAATATGTAGCAAAGTTAACATGGCAAAAAACTCATACATGTTGAGCCAGTTATGTATGACACAACAACTGTTATGTCATCAAGCTTTCCACCATAATAACGGAACCCAGCCTCTTGAGCAGCAGTAGAAAATGGTGTCTGCCTAGTCCTGTCCTGTGCTCGCTGACGGGCTAGTGCTGATATCTTCTGAGCAGTTACTCGGGGTTCTAGTCCGGCTCTAATTGCATGTAAAACAACTTCAGCTACCTCATCATTGTACAGATTGTCAAACAATCCATCTGTTCCAGCAATGACAACATCTCCTGGGGCAACAGGTATTGTAAAGACCTGAATATGTTATTGTGACAGATGTGTTAGTTTGTTTAATTTTCCAGAAATATACAAACTTGTTTGAAACACACAAACTTCATCTGCTACGTGACTTCCTAGGGAATAATTCTAGGACGATGACTGTGGTGTGACAAGACAGAAAAAACAAATAATAATCTGCCAGAGAATTTCATTGTATTAGAATGGTATATACTTAAAGCCTTAAAAGGGAAGAGAGGAAACAGTTGCAAATGAAAAATTGACCTGCAAATCATCTTACAAGTGCCATACTACCATGTGCGGACAAGTAAAAACCAAAACATCTCCATTTTCACTCCCCTCTTCCTGTCTGGATGTCCCCTTTTTTTAAATAAAAATAAAGCCCTCTCTGGCTTTTTATAACCTTTATCAGTCACACACCAAGTTTCTTCAAATCAATCACTAAATAGGATAAAAAAGAAATTCCAAATGCCAATCCATTTTTTTGGTTGCTTCATATATTAATCACAAGAGGTTGAAGGAACGTGCTGTGAACTGTTTTATGGAACCAGAACTGCACTGTCAGAACAGTAAGGCTATACTATTTCAGTAAGTAGTCCCTGGCACTATCTCAACAAATTAGAGCCTTAATTTTGAGATTTCCATATTGCTAATGTAATATCCTTATTCCTTAGAAGTAAATCCTGTGGTGCAATTTTATGTGAGAACTTACCTCGCCAGAGCTGGGAAGATCACCTCCATTACCACTCTCCAGTTGATATGTAAAATTGAAGTCATGCTGTTGAACAGGGGACCTGAAAATGGTGCATCCATCTCTAACCACAATGAACCCACTGTCACCCAGATTAATGGCATGTAGCCCCTGTATCAAGAAACCAAACACATAGTAAGCAGATGAAGAATTTGATATACTCTCGATCACTTCCTTTTATACTCGAGAAAGCAAGCTACCCAAATTTTACAGGCTGTAAACAGATGGGCTTCAGTCAACCAAGATGCAGGCTAAAACACTAAAAAAAAAAAAAAAATAAGATCCTAGGGCTTTGGAGCAGGTTAGACAAGAGTAATAATATGTATGTGCTCATGCCTCAACTGTATGTTAACATGAGTATAATAGAGAAAAATATCACCTATACATGAAAGAAAAAATAAGCTGGCCAAAACTGTGCATGCTTTAATTCTTTTCCCTAAGCCATTTAGTTATTGATTTTAAAGGAACATAACCATATTTCTGAATCTGGACGTAGACAAGAGTCTAGTTTTATTGTACAAGATTTTAGATCAAACACCGTGTGACATAAAATGTACATTTTGGGGAGATGCATTATCTAATGTAATATTGATAAAGTCAACAAAAAGTATATCAAGATAAGCAAACATGCAAAAACTGTTTGTCTTGAAGCACAAGGGAACAATATAAATACTTATACATAGCATTAAAAATGCAATAAAGAAGTAAAACCACATCTAATGCTGTCCTACAGAAAAAGAAGAAAACCATTTTGATTGTAAAAAATGTTATAAATTAATAGTATACCACATCGGTAAGAGCAATGATACAAGCTGTTGAAGAACCCCTAGCCTTTGTACATGAATGAGCCTTCTCCAAAACCCTTGCTGGATTAATAGAACCTTTGGGTTCCTCTTCAACTGCCCTAACAGAATGGGACATGAGTTCTCTAGCAAACAGTCCAGCATTAACACCAACATCTGCCCAGCCACCTACCCCATCTGCAACACCGATTGCTTGTTCATCAGTGCAAATAAAATGTGCATCCTCCCCACCCGTGTCCTCCTTATCCGGGTGTGGTAGGTAACATGACCCTGAAAATAGCTTCAACCTCTCGCCACCAAAATTAGTCCTGAAAAACAACATTAGTCAACATATTTACCTAGTAATTATGAAAAAAAATATAAATCTAAAGAGCGGACCTTCTCTTTAATCTTGATACTAAATGTGTAGTTAATTTTAGTGCCTAACTTAACTCTTGCCTTCGGAAAATGTCATTCACATTAAGTATTTTTTTTTAGTAATCATGTTATTGGTACAAAGTATTTACCAGTTTTGTTGACGACTAATCTCCATCGGAAAACCTGGTTGGTCACCTTTAGGAAGATCTCCTCTTCCAACCATGGTTTTTTCATACACAAAACTTAAACTCGAGACCTTACTTAAGGGAACTAAGTCCAATACCACTCGAACTAACGATTTGTTGGACATTAAGTCATTAACAATTTAATACCTTATCACTAAACTAATGCAAATAATGTTTTAAAACTCAAGCACTAATCTTTTGAATTTGATAAAATTACGAAATAAAATAACTTAAAAGTATATAACACAATACCAATTTGAGGGTTTACTCTAAATTAAGAAAACATAATAGTAAGCTTTCATTCAAGTTTCTAAGATTATCAACATGTTTGTGTATGCATCTTCTTGTATGTTATGCGTGTTCCACCAGAATCAATAATTTATAGCTTCTGCTTAATTGAACAAATTTAACAAGCCCAGTGGATGTGTCCAAACACACACTATAAGAGTATATCATTTTTTTAGTCCCTGAAAGTGTTCAGCTATTACATGGGTCTCTTAAATTAAGAAAGTTCTAAATAAATCCCTGAAATTGTCTCTAAACATGATCACCTACCGTCATTTTAGTCTCTAAATATATGTTTATATTATCATGAAATCATATGCTGCATGTAGTGGTTGAACTAAAGTGATTGACAAATTTCAGTTTTAGGCACTAAGGTGACCATGCCTAACACTTTCAGGGATGAAATAGGTGATTTAGCCCACACTATTAGTGTATTTGTCTTATAGTTTGAAATGCCCAAACTTCAGTTTAATAGAAAGTAACAATACACAAACTTCTTGTTGAGATGCCTTGAAAGCTATGACAACTACAATCCCTATGTTCGTAAAATAAAAGAAAATAAAAATAAAATAAAAAATCGATTTTTAGTCATTTTCACTTCATTTTTTCACTGCCATTTCACATGTAAATAAAAAATAAATAAAAAGTAAATTAAACTACAGTTATCAAAGTCAGGAACAAAACGAACAACACTTCCAACAATTTCATATAACAAAACGAGGGTTCACTGAAAAACACAGAGAACGAAACGAAACGCTGCGTACTGGTCTATTGCAAACGTCGATGTAGCAAGGTGCTGAACATGCGGCGTAGTCTCCGCGGAGCAGCAAGCGAACGAGGAATTCTTGGCTCCAGGGAGCGAGCTCTGGTTCCAACTCCTCCAACACGCGTCGGAAGTCGAACAGCCGAAATTCAAAAGAGCACTGAGCGGTCTTGGCCTAGGGAGGTTCACGGTGGCTCGCAGCGCCCCTCGGCGCATTCGTTCTCTGAAGTGAACGCCGGAAGGCTTGGCCGTCACGTCTTCCAAGTAAACGTCTCCGAGAAGCACGGCATTGGAAGCGGAAGCGGCCATCGATGTGGGACGCAGAGAATTGGGAATCTGAGATCGGAGAGGGAAAAATTGAATGTTTGGCGGTTCTTTGTTTTCTCGGTTACAGCAGAGCCTCAGACTTGGGAGATAGATAGGCCTCCGAGTTGTGTTGCCATGTTCACCCAATTTGTTGGCCGCATCTCTCTGTGTTTGTTTTGTTGTGATTCAAAATGGTTTTTTCTCACCCGTGCATTGCAATTTGAATTGATGGAAAGATAAATATTAATTAATGGGTTTTAAATCAATTGTGGTTTGAATACATTTATTTATCATCAATGAACATAAGGAAGTTTTTTATTATTATTATTTTAATGTTAGGTGACTTGTATTATTGATGCTTAACTTTTGGAAAAATAATGGGCTAGTTTGTTTAAAATTAAAAATGTGTTTTAAATAAATAATTATTTAAAAATAGATTGGCATTTTTTAAATAAATATTATTATTTTTTAAATAAGTTTGACAGTCATATAAAATAATTATTATTATTATTATTATTTTATTTAAAAAATTAAAAATAAATAAATATATGGACTCATTATTGGTTCAAATATATTTGGTGTAGGTGGAAAAGTTTGTTGAAGTTAACATAGTTTTCATCATTAATAAATATTATAAATTCTTTTTTATTTTATTATTATTTTATTAATGGAAATCACTTTCAATATCAAGTTTACAGTAATTCATGCACTTTGCTCAACAAAATAAACTGGAACTTATATAACCCCTTTTTTACTAGAGATATTAATTTAATGCTTGTCTTTGACTTTTTTTGGTAATTTAATTTTATTTATTTAAATAAATATTTTATTCATAATTGTTAATATTGTTGTACATTGTGGAGGTATTTCTTAGTGTTCTAGTAAAAAAAATATGTTTAAAAGGTTGTGAACATGTTCAATGCAAATTTGTATAATTCTTGTGTTACACTTATTCAAAAGGTGAGAAACTCTCTAATAGTTGGTGTCCCCAAAATGATAAAGAAATAGTATAAATGGAAACAATCTCACTTACTTTTGTTGTTGGTATCTTATGTATGCCTAAGTTTGTACATGTCTTGATATTACTTTTGCAATAAGTGTACTTGAGGTATTTAAGAAAATTTTGTGAATTGTTGGCAAGTTGTTAAACGAGTTATGAGGTATCTATAGATTACCAAGGAGTATTTTTTAACTTACATAAAATTTAATCACCTTTAGGGTTGGGCAAAATTAACTAAATTAAACTAAAACTATTAAATAACTAAATTATTTTAAACTAAAAAATTAAAACTATTTAAAATAAAACTGAAATAAACTATTTTTTAATTCAATTTTAAAAAACTGAACTTATTAAGTTACAGTTCGGTTAACTATAAATAACTACAAATAAAAAATAAAAGCACGGCACGAGGTTGGCTCTTGTAGTAATAGATCTTTAGGTGGAAACGCTATTAGGCATCCCTCTACAAATAACTCACACCAGCCACCGCACAAGGTAAATGTGCAAATGCCCACTGCCAAGGGTTCCTGATTATATGCAGAAATCGCAACTCGCACCAGCCACCGCATGGGTTCCTGACGTCCAACCAAACCATCTTCAAGCACCAACTACACGGATTCTCTCTTCTTTCTTCAGGTTCACTTTTTCTATGTAAAATTTCATCTGGGTATCCCTTTTTCCCTAAAATATTTGTTTTTTTCATTCCTTTGTTGATTCCTAATAATTATCTGAATAGCTATTGAAATGTCACGGTTTTAAGGTATTCTGTGATATTCTTCTCTTTAATAATTTTTTTTTTGGGTTATTGAAGGTTATTGAAGGTTGGATCAAGCCTTCACCGTTTGATGGCATTGCCAATGGAGACATGCTAGTGAGCTACTTCACATTTTGTTTATTTTGTTTATTGATTCATTTTTTCTTTGAAAAACATGAGTCTTCTGGGGTGTTAATAACTCATCTGACTGATCTATATGTTGATATTGAAAAATGTAGGATGGGACAGAGGTTCAATTTAAGTCAGTGACATTGCAGAAGTATGTATCTACTGACAATGGAGGAGGAATGAATGTGACAGTTGACAGGGATGTCCCATCTTCATGGGAAACCTTCAAGGTAAGATGGAAATAGTGTTCTTCTTGTTTTAATTTTCCATCTGGTATAATATGTTGGAACGCAATTATGGTGAAATGGTTAATACTCATCCTCTTGCTAATCCATTTGAAGGCTTTTGATTTAGTAATACACCGTCTTTTTTTAATATGTGAACTTGAGTATCTTTCAAATTGGAAGTATTTTGTGGCAGACTGACTTGTGCCAGCTAAGGTGAGCTTCTATTGAAACTGACATGGTTTTCTTTGAAGAAACACAAAAAATAGTAACAAATTTGGAATCATCCTAGCTAATGTTCACTGCCATAGTGAATAACCAAAGTACCAAACAACACTCTACTAAACATTCTCAGTTGCAGATATGCAAGACATCCTGCATTGCTAGGAATTGAGCTATTGAATGAACCAGCTGCTGGCGTAGTTTTATTAGATGTTTTAATATCATATTACAAGCAGGGCTACCAAATTGTTCGAAAATACTCGTCATCAGCTTATGTGATAATCTGCCAGAGAATTGGTGCTGCAGATCCTTTGGAACTTTATCAAGCCAACATAGGATCTCACAACTTAGTTTTGGATTTGCATTTCTACAATCTCTTTGACACATTTTTTGTTAATTGCAGTTTATATTGGATTCCTATCTTTTTTTTCAAGGTATTAAGAAAAGTTAGCACAGTTTAGAAGCAATTCATAAATAGTTCAGTTCGAAAATAGTGCAGTTCAGAAACAGATTAAGGTGCATAACAGTTCAGTTTAGTTCATAGTATAGTTCAGTATAGTTTAGTATAGTACAGTTTAATAGAATAAAAAATAGTTCAGTTCAGTTTGTGTAATCTAATTTTCAGTTCAGTTCAGTTTAATTGAACTACTTTTCAGTTTAATATAGTTTTTAACAGTTCAGTTTAGTGCAATTTAATTTGCCCACCCCTAATCACCTTGATGTGATAGGTTATTCTGATTATGTTAGTTGTCCAAATAACCATAAATATACATTGGGGTATTTTTTTATATTGGTTGGATAAGTTTTTTCATTGAGAAGTGTCAAAAATAATTTATTTCCAAGGGCAAAGTAACGAATGAAGGAGTAAGGGAAGGGGGCATTTAAAAAAAAAAATAAAGTTTATCTAATAAATAAACATTAAGTTTTATTAAAAATATTATAATTGTATGTTTTTTTAATAATTCAAAAATATATAGTAGAAAATATATTTACAAAAATTTATAATAAAAATTGATATCTATATTAATTAATTTATTTTACAAAATATTCAATTGATTATGCCCTAAAAATATTCTAAATAAGAATAAGTTATGTTACCTACTAAATTATCTTTTTCGACAATAGTAGTCAACAATCATAAAAAAAATTATTTTCCCAATATTTATACAATGACATGTTTGGTCTAACATTCGAACACATTAGAATGAAAGAGATTGAGATATTTGTATAGGTGTGAGACTAAGGATGACTTAAAAGAATGAATTACTATTATTTATACTAACAAGATGTATCTACTTTTCAGTAAATTATCACTTAAGAACTTCATTGTTAAACGCATTTGACTTGAAGTTATTTAAGGATGTCTGAGCTCTTGGGAAGTTTTCCAAAAAATGTACAGGTAAGGAAAAAATAAGTTAAAAAGTCTCGTATTGCTTTGTAGGGATAATTGTTAATCTTAGAGGCGGTCGAGCATCTTAGAAAAGGCTACCCATAGAGGGTTATGATTGGTGAAGAGTTATATGAAGTGTCACTATGTGAAGAGTCAGGAATGAAGTCGTTAAGACCTCAATTATGAGGGGTGCTACATTTGGATTTGTCTTGTGACACCCTTTACCCTACATATCATAATATATAATAATAAAAATATTGAATAACATAATCTTCATAAATAAAACCAAAATATGTGCAGGTAGAAAACATCAGATTCTTAACTTAAAAAAACTAACATAACCAAACTAAAATTATAAGGAAACAAAACTAATGTCTTCAAAATTAAACCACAAAAGCAATATCCTAAATATGCCTTAATATCACATCCTATCAAAGCATAACCCATCATTGAGGACTAGACCTCATCAACAACATCCTGAATTCCATATTGATGATCACTTGCATAATAACCAAAGGAAAGCAACATAAAGCAAAGAAAGTGAGAAACATATTAATATAGCTCAGGATGCAAGAATGCAACTGGATAGCCAACCACAAATAAGACATACATATATACATAGGATAGAAAAATCAGTAACAATAACACAATTCACTCATTCCTAACAAAATAATTGAATAACACATAACATAAAGATGCATATGCAATGAACACAAACTACATATTATCATGCATGTGGCGTTAATAAAAACATCACATGGTGTATTGTCGCTAGCAACACACAAAGTAGCTTAGGAATACATGTTGGGTCACATCCTCAACGCACTCTCACTAGGAGGATATACTATCAAGGTCTAGTTGGGATAGTTGAGCCACGCAAGATACATACCATGAACACAATGGATGAGACTGAGACTTCTAAATCAATCTATCCCCAAGGACTAATCCCCAAGCTTTTACACAAGGGGACCTTCCCTGACAATATATTTCATATCATACACTTAAAAAATACTTTTATGTGTATGATGCATGTTGAATAGACTCAATACCTTATCCCATTACAACAATACATACTCATGATTATATCTTAATTCATTTCATTTTATATTCGCATCATGGCTAAGTCTTGCTTAAACTTCTCATTATATCCAAATCCAAGGTAACACATCATCAAATTCATACAAGATTCATACACAAGTATCATACATTGTATCTCAAATTGATAAATATGACTTATCTTAAGTATAAAAGGAAGAAAAGACAAGAAAACAATGAGAAAAAGGAGTATTAGCATGAGTCACAATTGTGATTCACAAATCACAACTGTGATGTCGATCATGCCCGTGACTAACTCAGCGAGAATCCAAATAAGGTTGAAATTCGAAAGAGTCATGGTTGTAACCCATCAGTTACACCCATGACTCACTAGTCACACTATGGCAAAATCTAACAGTGCGAATTTTGACTCTTTAGACTCTGAAACTCATCTCATCACTAAAACTCATCAAGAATCACCAAAAATGAACATTCAATCGATAGAAAAAGTTCCAAAGGACATGTTATATTGCAAAAAGCATAATTTATACACACTAATTACATACGCATATTATCCATTTATATAATAATCATTTAGGGTTCCTATCGAAACCCACACGCAATCCAAAACATGCGATTACATATCAAAACATGAAATTAAGGGCATATGCATGTACATAACAACAATTAGAACATAAAAGAGCAACGGAGAAGACAAAGACACATTTAAAGAAAAATCCTCACACATAAAACATACAACAAATATAAGATTAGAGATCAATCCCAATACCTAGCATACAATCTCACACTCAAAGTGAGGTTTCTCACTCCCCTTTTACCTTGATGAGCGCTAGAAGATGAATGTGGATCTCCGGAGTGATTGCCCTCGAACTCAAGTTCTCCAAGGTCTGAAGCGTGCAAGCGTAAAAAAAGTGTAGGAGCATAAAATAAAAAACTAATAAGAACTTCCCTTTTAAAAACATAATTCTCCCTTAACCCCTCAATTAAAAACAATTAACTATAGTTACTAAAAATCCTTCTTTAATTAATTAATAAATAAATAAATAATGAAACAATTACTTATAAAACCTTAATATATATATATATATATATAATTAAAATAATTATTGAAATCAACTCAATTAATTATAACAAAAATACAATAATTAATAATTATGCAAATACTTGTAATAAGAAAAACAGGGTGTGACATGTACATTAGATAGTAGAGTATCACAAACAATGACATTTAAACAAGGAAAAAATAAAATAAAGATAATATGGTTAAAACAATGTGACAATAACGAAAAATATTTGTTTATATGTTTCAACTAACGCTTAACTTATGCGTATGCATGATGCAATTTTTTTCTTTTATATTTTTCTAATAAAATGTAGGAATTTTAGAATTTTAGAATTTTGAATGATCAACCGCACTTTAAATTTCATCTAACATAATAACAAAAAAATGAATTTTAGATAGAAAAATTATGGAGAAAAGATAGATACTACAAGGAGGTTGAATAATGTCAATCAAAAACTCACATTTTTTCAAGTAGTAAAGTAGAAATGCTAACAGTGTTGAAGAGAGAGCAGATAAAACGCATAGTATAAAAATATTGGTCCGTCTCAACTACCGAGACTACGTCCAGTTCTCAATCCAAGCAATTTGAGTTTCACTATCTTAAACAAGATACAAATATTTTTTCAATAAGCCATTTCTGGCTCAAACTTAAGTGTTCTTTGAATTGTCTCTTCAAGCAATCTATCCGAGTATTCTTTTCACACAAAGCCTATTCAGGCTTCAACACCAAGTATTCTTTTACATTTAAGCCTTTTTAGGCTTAAACAACAAGTACTCTCTTACAGACAAGTTCCTCTAGGCTCAAACAATAAGTATTCTTTTACAAACAAGCCTCTCCAAGCTTAAACAACAAGTATTCTTTTACAGACAAGCCTCTCCAAGCTCAAACTCGATGGTCCCGGTAGAACACGAATCTAGAAAGAGAGGGTTGAGTAGATTCTTCACATAGATGGCTTCCTATGATTTTTAAGAACATTCCTTTTAATTATTTACTTTCTTAGAGCAATTTCAGTTAATCACATTTAGATTACAATTCAATCAAGGATACACAATATCATATTTATTACACAATGGAACAAATTCTTGTAATCCAAATTGATTTTAGTAATTACCTTTTTTCACTTATCACCAAATTTCATATAAAATACTCATAATTTGAATCAGCAATTGATAACAATCATAGAAACAATCTCTTGAAATTTTTTTTTTTTACCAATTTTAACAAGAATTATATCAAGATATGAAGTTTAAGAGAGAATTTGCATAGTGATCTATACTAGTTCAAGCATACAAGGGCCTACATCCAGTTTCTGACTTAGCATCCCACTAAATCAAGTCATTCCACTATAATATTCTTCACAAACACCATGTACAAGCAATATTATACTCAGAATGTAAACCATACAATCTTGATAACACAAGATTTCACAAACACAAAATTCTTGCACCCCATAAGAACCCAATTAAGAAAAACCTATCCCAAGATTTCTTTTAACTCTTCTAGAGATACCCTATCTCAAAGAGTCATATACCCAGTAGTGAAAACAAAGTTTAAACATTAGAAACAATACCCCTGATGTGTAGAATGATCTTCCATAGAGATTAGCTCAACAATCTTTCAAGTCCTTTCAAGAACACATCTTTCTTAGTTCAATCTTGCTCTTGTAGTTTTTCTGAAAAATTTGATTTGATCTTCTCTAAAAAATGTTTTTAGATTATAACCATGTTTTCTTTTCTTTTCTTGCTCTCTTTTGACAATATCATTTCATTCCTATTTAGTTTTTTAAAAAAGAGTTATATTTATAGAGCAAAATAGATTTCAACATTAAAAACTCGTAACAGTAGTAATCTATTACCATGATCGCAGACAAAGATTTCCATACAAGTATTTGAAGAATCAAGTCTCAAAGGACAACTCAGGCATCATCTACGATCATACAAAAGCTCTCAACATGATCGCGTGATTAAAGGAAGAGAAGAAGAAGAAGAAAAACAAGCCAAAAGTAAAAGCATGCATGTGTCAGAAAAAGTACATCACTTTTTAAGATAAAGACAACGCTCTACAGTTACGCGACCAGAAAAGGACAAAAAGTTCCTAGGTCTCAACTAAAGTCATACACTACTACTAACAAACGTAGA